CTCGTGCTAACTGGTACACTTTCATTTAAAATGTAGATGGAACATAAGAAGGTGGTGTTTATAAGTATTACGATGGATTGCGTTTACACAATTCAACGTTTATTATGGCTTTTATCTTGCATACCCTTAACATTCAAAGAGCAAACAAATTTCAATGCTTAGTTTTGTATAATATTTTATTGAGAAATTCAAAGAAGATATGGATGTTTTTAGCTGTGTTCTTTATTGCAAGAAGAAATGTGCCAATTCTTTTAATTTTTATTCTTCTTCATTTATTTTTTGTATTATTACCTCTTATGTGTAAATTAAATTTTGTCAAAATTTCTTTCCTGATATTGTCATTAGAGAGACAATAACAATAAACTTATTAAACTAATAAGCCAAATTGCGCACAACTTTTAAGCCTGCATTGCCAACATTCTACGTCATATTGAATACACTCTTGAATTATTAACCCCCTACAACTTACAACACCCTCCTCATAAATACATGTAGTAAAGTAAAGCAACAACTAGCAATCCAAAAAAAATGTTAAGCATAGGCCCATGCAATTAGTAAAACAACCCAATAAGTTCTAACTTTTACTGTAGTAGTCCATATGTTTACTGCATTGTAAATCCGTGTACTGTCCGCGAGAGTAAAGAAGTCCCCTGAGCTCTGGCCTATTGGTAATTTGAAGGCGTTACGCTTGAACGTTTTGCGCGACAATTAGAGCCGTCTTCACTGTGCTCTGCTAGTTGTTAGGCTTAATTTTTGTATGTAATAGCTGTATGATTTTTATAAATATATGTCATAATATTTTTTGCATAGGCATACAATCGAAGGAAACCCATTTTCTAGTGTCACTAAGGCAAATTAATTACCTTTCTACTTCATGGTTTTTGTTTAGTTAAATGTAACAATTTATATATCTATATATATATGATACGCTAAGCCGAATTTTGTGAACAGAACTCCTTCCTCATTTTTGAGCCTATTTTGATGATTTAAGTGTCAAAAAAATAGCCCAGATTGGTAGTTTTGCAAAGTGGTTTTCATTTTTTTGAAATCTGAATTAGTTTGGGCAGGATCTTCCATCAAAGTTGGGTTTTCTCCCATAAGATTGACATGGGGAATCTAAATATTTAATTGGAATTTTTGTCTCCACTAATTTGAGAGAACGGCTGGGCGTAGAAACTTGGTATAGGTGTCCAGAGAAAGGTCTCGGTCTATACTGCCCCTGACTGGCCCCTAACAGTTATAGAATAAAAGCCAATATTCTACTACACCTAACATTCCGAAGAGAGATTATATTGAAAAATGTATGTAATTGATAAGGCTTACACAACTGACATCCGCATGTCATGCGATTCCAGATTTTACTGAACCAGTAACCCAGCGACCAATTTATCAAAACAGGGTTATTCATTTGGACAGAAGTACGGTATAATGACCGACGTGACGAAGGAAAAAATAAAACTTACACAGCTTTATGATGGGCCTTCATTTGAATTAAGAACGTGCCTTCTCAACAAACAGATGTTTTTCTAAAAAAAAGCATAGATTTAATTTGCATAACACTGATGAAATCGTAGAAGTGTTTACCACAAAAGATCCACCAAATTTTTTTTATATTTAAAGGTTCTTACAAAAGCATTCTTCATATATTTCTCTAAAAGAATAGAAACTAGTTAACATATAACAATAACTCCTATGACGTATGACGTATTGTATAAGAAATATATGTTATTCATTGAATGATCAACCATATTTTGTAACTAACCCAATAGACAATATTGTTTTTACACTTATTTATTACCCATTAAACAATGCTAAATGCTCAATTTTTTGTCAAAACACTCGTCTAATTAAATCCCTCTCTCCACTATGTATAGTAGCACCACTTTTTCTTAAAGCCATAGCTACAAAAGGACCTTCCAAAACAAAACACGAACACACGAGACTGCAATGAATAATAGGACGTGACCACATGATGATAATCCACTTACCAAAACAAAGATATGAGTAATTATGTTTACAACAGTTGTTTACAGACAGACATGGAGGCGAGGCGCTCAGATGCTTAGCGCCTGCAAATAGTGTGCGATACCCTCCAAACATAGCTGCGTATTGCTCTGGCTCAAGGGACTTCTTTACTCTCGCGGACAGTATATACCTTGTCTTTAACTAAGGTAAAAGACATGTTCCAGTAACATCCTACAGTAAGCAGCAATTAGATCCAGTTAACAGACAAACGTTGCATGTCTGAACCACCAGTTGACTATTTAACTCATGTTTAACTTTTTCCTCTTCAATAGCCAGTAATTGCTGTTCTGTTTACCAACAACATCCTGCTTCGTGGTGAAGAATTAACCTTTAATTACCAGTACATGCAGCCAACCAATAGTTATTAGGTGGCTGTTGTCATTTAAACTGTTCTTAGATGATTGAGTGGTCACTGAGTCTTACAAATTAAACAAACTAAACAATTCATTGTTTAAGTTTCTAGAAGTTTTATTCAGAATGTTGATAATTGCTGACTGTAAGCTATTTATTAGAGACAAATATGAAATATTCATTATTGCATTGCTAGTTCGCAAAAAAACTTAATATGATTACATAATTATTTTATTACTCGAAGCCTACTACTAAATAGTTAACTAAAATTAAATATGTAATTTATTATTTTTTTAATTAATAAATTAAAATTCCTTTTTTATTTAATTTTTGGAATAATAAATCATACCTGTTTCAGCATCATTGTATATTATTCACTTTTTTAGGAATATTATTCATACTGAAGGAAGTCTGTGAGTCAAGGGCTCTCAAATTGTTCTCAACTCTCGGTAGCTGTAGCTGGCAGTGTTGAAAGTGGTCTGTTAAGGCTGCTTAGGTCAAGGATTTCTGTGTCCTTGCCCTTCCAGTAAAATGGGTTGATGGCCAAGGGTATTCAACACTGTTAGATTATCTGACGAGTATCCTATCTGACTATATGTTGTCAACCTCACAAGCTAAAAATGTCTTTAACAAAACTGCAATTTTAGGTTAAAGCAAGAACAAGTTTATGTTTTTGATTGTTTTCAGTACAATTATGTTGGTGATTTATAATTTTTCCTGTCACTATTTATTTATAACCAGATTGGGTATGGTGCTAGAATAGTTTTTCATCTCTGACTTTTAAGCGAGAACCATAAATTTAATACCCCGAATATCTAAAAATATTGGAGTTTTACACTATGTTCCTATAGTTGATTTCAACTATTGTTCATACTTATTAATGCTGGATAATAGAACGGTAATTTAATTCTAGATATTACCATAATTCTATAGAAAATATGTTTTTAAATAATTGTTAATGAACAATTTTTTAAATTGTCGTATTTTATGTAACATATTTGGCACTTTCTGTTTTCATCATGGTTTCTAGTTAGATTAATACAAATATACTTTCAAAAATAAAATATAAAATTGTAGTTTACAATAAATTAATTGCCCAATAAATGTAACAAACATCTAGTATTGGGATAACCGAATGATTTCTATGACCGAATAATCAATCAGTTATTTTTAGAGTCAATCGGTTATTTTTAGTTGAATGAATCACCAAAACAATTTTAGCCATTATTCTCAATTTTAGTTCTCATTCACTGTCCCAAACCACAACTTAATTTTTATCTTATGAAAAACTGAATAGGCCTAGCTTTTAATAATTTATATATATACACTAAATATATCTCATTGTGCTACCAAGCAAAACACAAGCATAGCTACTTATTAACCTAATTAATCAACTGTAGAGTCCTTCAATGTGTAAAACCCAAAGGGGACTTGATTTAATTGAGCTCTCTATGTTGCATGACCATGTGAAGGGTATATTCCGCTAATTGTCTGCTCATTTACAAGTGCTGTTTGGAGGTTCACATTGTGCAATCTAAGTGAAAGGTTTGAGCTCTTTCAATAAGGACGCATCACAGTCTATCGAAATGCTCTCGCTGTTTGATACAAAGGACTCAGTAGTAGTGCTGTTATCAAAATTACTTCCTTTCCTTCTCTTTTGACACCCCCAGAAAATGTATGTGATAGTAAAAAAATGTTAACTAAGACTCAAACTTAGGATGTGTTTTTAGTTTAAAAAGGAATTTAAGACGTTGTTTGACTATGGGGCATCACCAAAAAGACCCTCTATAAATACCCTTGATGACCTATAAGTACTGGAGTGGATGGAGCCTTGTTCGGTTTGATCAGAGACATATTTTATCATTTACAAAAATAGTTTTATTACAAACCAAAAACATTTAACCACTGAAATAATATCAACTGTGTAATGTGTGTCTAATTACACTCGTTTCATAGATCATACAAATTAGATTATTTGCAGTCATAACATTTAGTTTTAATATTAACCACTGACACAACTGTACACTTATATAAAATAAAAGCTCATAGTTTTTTGACGTTTTGAATTTATAATGGGCAGCAATAATGAAATGGTACGGGATAGTGTGTTTAAGGCTACCTGTTGGCTACCCTATTTTCTACCTGCCAGATTTCTGGATCAGTTTGGATGTTAGATAACTAATTGGATGTTGAAGAGCTACCTGATCGCTGATCAGTTAGGACACACGTCAAGTGCATGACACGTCAAACGGTTCCAATCGTGAATATCCAAATTCCTGACATGGCGACTTTTAGAGGCTTTAAGAATTGCAGTGCGCTGACGTTCTTGATTTATTATGTGACTTAACTATTATGTTTTAGGGAATTTTCTTAAAGGCTAGTTGCTATTGCCTTAATATTAGTGATCCTTGTATCAATAAACCTAAGTACTCATTAAATTCTCAAAATTGTATTAGTGTGCTGGTTTGCTACAACAAAAGAATCTTTTTTTATTTGACTCAACATTTTATTTATGAATCAAATCAAACGTTATTTACCTACAAAACAAAATTTATTTTTAATTAATTTGTTGTACTTAGTAAAAGTTGTTGAACAACTTCTAACAAAATTTTTGTTTGTTACAGTTCAGTCTTCGAGAGCTCGATCTGTCACTACTATCTCAGTTGTGGTCACTCAACGAGTCTATTCAAGAGTTTCGTCAGATGCAAGAGGCTTTCTCTCCACCCTCCCCTTCGTCAGATGTTGAGGACGATGTCATATACTCCAACTTGAGCGCTCTCCCAGAGCATCAAGCCTACCCATTGTCCAGCAGTTCCTCTCGATCAAGCACTATGGACCTTGGTGACGTGTAAGAAGATTGTTGTGATAACTGTGTTTGCAGAAACAATATTTTATAAAGACAATTGTGATTCTACTAAAACTTTAAGCAGTGTTATTTTCATAGTTTGAAAATGGCAACGGAGGAGAAGTTGTTTTTCCAAAAGACTGTTCAGCACCTTGCCAGGTCGCTGGCAGCTGTTAAGAATTCCACGTGGGAAAGTATTAACACACTTTTTTCACTTTGCCCTCAAGAGAATGCTGGGGGAGTGTTTAGGCTTGACCAAAGAGCTTTAGATTCTATAATCGCTCTTGGAATATACTTCCTTCAATCAGGGCTGCAGCATTTCGATAAAATCTTGCCCTACTTGATAAGACTTTTGAAAGGTCTCCCTAAAGCTATTTGGTCAGATGATGTCCAACTCAGCCCGACAGACAGAATTCCAGTGGCTGAGAAGTTCAGCTTCTGTCTCAACACACTGCTGTCTGATGTAGCAGTGAAAAAGGAATCCCACAGAGAAGAAATCATTTCAATTCAGGTCGCTTTTCTCAGTGATCTCACAGGAATAATTCGTGGTATCTACAAAGAAAGTGATAAGAATAGAAATAGGAACAAGGTCACTCTGTGCAAGGTCACGGTGCCAATTCTGATTGGGCTAGCTAGATCTATGGGTAGGTTTGCCACAAATGGCCCTCCACTCCTCTCACGACTTTTTCCAAAACCTGAGAGACCACAAATGGTCATTGTTGCTCCAACCAACGAATCTCAAGTTTCAAAGAAGAAAAGTTTTTCAAACTTTAGATCAATCATTCCAAGATCACTCTCTGGTAACTTAAATCTAACTACTTTGGATATAATGACTTTAAGCTGTTTGGACCCAACTGCCGACTTGAGTGCATTAGCACACAATGAGCAGAGATACCAATCAGTTAGTTTTGATCCAACCAATCACTTTTTCTGTAAATATGGTTCCAGTTTCAACCAATTTCCTCACATGAGAATTTCTGATCCATTTGAAAGGCGTGCCAGCAATCTTAAATTTGTCATAGCACACTTAAAAAGTGTTCTATATTGTGCAAAAAAACTGTTGACTTCTGACATGCTTGAGTTTCTGGACTCTCAAGCATCTGACATTCACGAGTCAGGCCAATTCAAAGTGTTTCCATACCGCAGCTTCGGTGAAACCTTAAACCTCGTCATGGTAACTCTCTTGCGAGAATTGCTCCAGTACCAATTTGATCTCCCGACTCCTTTTACCAAGGATGTCCAAGAGTTCGTCAAAGGGTTATTCCTCTCTGGACAAACAGAATTACAGCCAAAGCATCACTATGCAAGTGAACGAGAAGACAAGGAAATGAATTTCACAACAGTAAACAAGTTTAAAGTAAATGTGATGGCAAACTCAGCTTGTGTGGATTTGTTAGTATGGTCGATTGGGGACGAAGGAGGAGCAGATAGCTTGTGTGGTAGGTTGGCAGAGAAAATAAACTCAAGTCATAATCTTAAACTAGTTCTTGCTCATATGCCATTGTTGATGGTCTGTCTTGAGGGTCTAGGAAAGCTTGCAGAGAAATTTCCTACGATTGCAAATACATCAATTCAGTGTTTGAGAGATTTTCTTGTGAACCCATCACCGATTCTACTGAAGTTGTATCGACTGCATTCTGAAAAGGCAGATGCAAATGACATATCTGTTGTAATGCAAGGAAATGAACTGAAAGCAGTAAAAGAGAAGCCAAATCAATCCCAAACACCTTTTGAAAAACTAAGAGATGCTGCCATTGAAAATCTTTGCATTTCTTTAAGAGCAGCTTACAGCATTGATCCCTACTGTATTGCAGCTTTGGTAGCATCCTTATCAAATAGACTCTTTACCGCTGAAAAAGCTGATGAATCGTCTCTTATTCCTATGAATACGATAGTTATGCTCGGACACATTGCAATCTCCCTAAAGGATACCCCCAAAACAACTGACACCATTCTACAGTTCTTTCAGCAGCGGTTTTGCCGAGTGCCATCAGCTGTTGATGTCCTCATAGTTGATCAGTTGGGATGCATGATCATTGCAAAATGTGAAACAAATGTGTATGAAGAGATAATGAGAATGTTTGTCACAATCACAGTAGAAGCAAGTAATGCTGCTTACAGTAATGAGAGAACAAATCAGTACCGACATGTTTCAGGTGCTGTAATAAATGCTCTTGCAAACATTGCTGCAAACTTGAAAGGAGAAACAGAAATGAACGAATTGCTTGTCCGCTTACTGGAATTGTTTGTTCAGCTTGGACTCGAAGGCAAAAGAGCATCTGAAAAGGCTCCCGCCTCTAACAAAGCATCAAGTAGTGCAGGAAACCTGGGAATGTTGATTCCTGTGATAGCAGTCTTGGTACGCCGTTTACCAATGATTCGCCATCCTAAACCACGTTTACACAAATTGTTTAAAGATTTTTGGCTTTATTGTGTCGTCATGGGGTTCATCACAGAATCTGGGCTGTGGCCAGCTGAATGGTATGAAGGAGTGAAACAAATTGCTGTGAAGTCACCATATCTTGTTTCCCAGACGTCATCACGTTCTGAAATGAGAGAACTACAGTACACTTCAGCTGTTAGAAATGACAGTGTTTCAATCAATCAACTGCAGGAGTTCAAAACACAAATTTTACAACTGTTGGAAAACCCTGCTGAAATCACAGCTATTGTGAACAAACTTAGTTTTGCCCAGTGTACATACTTGTTGTCAGTATATTGGCTAGAAACTCTTAGAGTTGAAAACTCAGCTGTTCCTAGCATTCATCCAATACTAGAATATCTAAATGATGCCACAATACAGAAAGACAAGTACGGTATGTGGCAGTGTGTAGCATGTGTTGGAGACAGAGTATTTGCCAAATTCTTGAATGTAATGTCCTACAAACCAAAAGATGAAAACAGAGAAAAAGAACTTGAATATCATGCTCAGTTCATGTTGGTAAATTTCAATCACATACATAAGCAAATAAGACGTGTAGCTGATAAGTACCTCTCTAGCCTGGTGGATAAATTCCCTCATCTCTTGTGGAATTGTCGAGTGTTGTGGAGCATGCTTGACATCTTGCAAGTTTTGTCATACTCATTGGAATTAGATCCAAATGATGAAACGCCAATGCTTAAAGTTCCAAGTACATCTTACAGCATTCCACTAATGGACACTTTGGAAGCACGAGAAAGTATTGTAAATGACTTTGCTGCCAGATGTTTAGGTATTGTTCAAGAAGCAATGAAATGGGCTCCCCAAGCAACAAGATCACATTTGCAAGAATATCTTAATCAAATTCCACATTCAGGTCAATGGCACCACTCTGGTCTTGCACTTGCCACTGAAAGCATTCTAATGTCTAAAGGCTTAAATCTACAATCAGCACCTCTTCCCACAAGCACTCTAGAAAAAAGACCAAGGTGTGTTAAAAGTGATTCTTCAAGATTTGTTTCTTCACTAAGCCTTAGGAGTAGATTTTCTGGGCAAGTCTCAGGAATGCTTCAAACTGGTGTTCCAAAAGAAAAGATTATAGAAAATGTAATTAAAGACGTTTGGGAGGCATGTCGAGAAGAATCAAATGCCCAGCACCATAATACTTTGTGGCGAGCTACTGCCTTGTTGATATCTTCAGAGGATGCACCCCGTAACCTGTTAAATGTTGTTGCCTGTTCACAACTAGAACTTTTCACTGAACGCTCAATGACAACAGCAACAGAATGTTGGCAGTGGCTCATCACTGCAAGACCAGATTTGGAACTTCAGTTTCTACAGGAAATGTTTTCAGCTTGGCAATGCTCTGTTGACAAACAGTTGGGATTATTTTCAAAAGAGGAAGAAGAAGTGAGTCCACTTGCCGCTTACGAAGGTTGTATCCTTGAACCACTCCCACCATTTGTAAAACCTCACGATATTTGGATTCAATTTATTGTAGAACTTGTGGAAACTGCAAAGTACAACAACCAAGACAAGATTGACATGTTGGCAAATTTACTACAATATTCACTGTTTATGATAGTTGGAGGAACTGAACAGCCTAGACAGAACAGGCATATTGCTGCAGTAGGTGCAAGATTCAGACTGTTATCTTGTGGCCTTTCGCTTCTTCAAGGGGATGTCCTTTCACGATCTTTAGCCAAGAATGTTCTAAGAGAACGTGTTTATTCTACATGTTTGGACTACTTCTGTGGCCCAAAGCGTTGTCCAACACAAAGAGGCACAGAACTGCGTGATGACATTCATGTTTTGCTAAAGTTTTGGCAAACAATGCATTCAGACAAAAAGTATTTGATGGCAAGTGTAATTGGTGACTTTGACGTTTCAGGCTCTGTAGCAGATCAGAATCTTACGGGAGGGGATGCAAAGTCACAAAGTGGCATTGTGCCAATAAATGATTTTCCCAGACCTCAAGCAGCCACAGGATGGATTAATACCGTCCCACTGTCTTCTTCAACCAATACATTAACTAAGAGATCTAACAGGTCTAAACGACAAGTGAACAGCGGAGACTTGTTTGTTAAAGACTACATAAAAAAGAGGAATCTTATTTTAGATTTACTTGCTGTTGAAATTGAGTTTTTGTTAACTTGGCACAACCCTACTTCTAGGCCCGACATGAATTTTCCAGGAGAAGACACAATAGCAGCTTGGAAATCTAAAACAGTGTCAGAACGCACTTTGAGAGACACTGCTCGACTTGCTTGGGACATAAGTCCAGCACTTGCTGTGTTTTTACCAGATAGGCTGAAAAATGCAGAAGCGATTGTGAAAGAAGTTTCAAGATTAGTCCGTTTGCATCCAACTCTAGTGTGCCACATTCCACAAGCTTTGAAGTTCTTGGTCACAACTGACACTTTGCTGAATGATGCTCAAGAGTTAGTCCACATGTTATCCTGGGCCAGAGTAACTCCAATCCAGGCACTTTCATACTTTTCACGTCAATATCCTCCACATCCCATCACAGCACAGTATGCTATTAGAGTATTAACAAGCTATCCAGCAGATGCTGTTTTATTCTATATCCCGCAGTTAGTCCAAGCTTTAAGACATGACACAATGGGCTACGTGACTGAGTTCATCAAGTACATCTCCAAGAGGTCCCAAGTTGTGTGTCATCAGCTTATTTGGAACATGAAAACAAACATGTATATTGATGAAGAAATGCATCAAAAGGATACAGTGCTGTTCGACACATTGGATTCATTGACAAAAACAATAATAGGATGTCATTCGGGACCTGCAAAACAGTTTTATGAAAGAGAGTTTGACTTCTTTAGTCAAATTACAAACATATCTGGAGAAATTCGACCTTTCCCCAAAGGACCTGAGAGGAAAAAAGCCTGCTTAGAAGCTCTGAGCAAGATTGAAGTTCAACCAGGGTGTTACTTGCCCTCAAACCCTGAAGCCATGGTAATAGACATTGATTACAAAAGTGGAACTCCTATGCAAAGTGCAGCAAAAGCTCCTTACCTAGCAAGATTTAGAGTTCGACACTGTGGTATCAATGAACTAGAGGCTATTGCACTTTCAATATCCGATGGAATGACAAAATTGGATGACAGTTTGGATGTCAGCATGGGCCCCGAGATGTGGCAAGCTGCCATATTTAAAGTCGGTGACGACGTTAGGCAAGATATGTTGGCTTTGCAAGTTATTGGAATCTTCAAGAACGTATTTCAACAGGTCGGTCTAGAGTTGTACTTGTTTCCTTACAGAGTCGTCGCCACTGCTCCTGGATGTGGAGTGATAGAGTGTGTACCAGACGCCAAATCAAGAGATCAGCTCGGACGACAAACGGATATTGGCATGTATGAATACTTCATCAAAACCTATGGGGATGAGACCACAAAGGAATTCCAAAATGCCAGAAGGAACTTTGTCAGGTCGATGGCAGCCTACAGCGTCATCGGTTTCCTTTTGCAAATCAAGGACAGACACAATGGAAACATCATGCTCGATAAGGACGGCCACATTATCCACATTGACTTTGGATTTATGTTTGAAAGCTCCCCAGGAGGGAATTTGGGCTTCGAACCTGATATTAAGTTAACAGATGAAATGGTGATGGTAATGGGTGGAAAGACAGAAGCTGCTCCATTTCGTTGGTTTACAGAACTGTGTGTTCAAGCCTATCTGGCTGTGAGACCTTATCAGGAGGCCATCATATCACTGGTGTCGCTTATGCTAGATACTGGTCTGCCTTGCTTCAGAGGACAAACCATCAAACTCATGCGAGCCAGATTTGCTCCTCAAGCTAGTGAAAAAGAAGCTGCAGCCTATATGATATCTGTAATTCGCAATTCTTGCTTAAACTTCAGAACACGTACTTATGACATGATTCAGTATTACCAAAATCAAATTCCCTACTAAACATGTGTGTAGTTTATGATCAATTATATTTTATTCTTTATGTTCTTCTATTGATTATTGTTACATGATTATAAAAGGGTGTGCTTATGGAAGTAGCAGTTAATAATTTGTCTTTGTCATTAAGCGTAATGTGTCTATTTCATTAAATATTGGGTACTTCTAGAGTTGTAATGGTTATTAATTTTGAAAGTGAGTGAAAGTTAAATACAAAACAATTACAATTTTTTTTTCTTTTTTAAATGTTCATGTTTTTTTACTTTATTGTAAGTTTTTGAATTTCTCTTTGTTCTTGCCATGAGTTGTAAAACAATTGTACTCCATTGCCAAATCTAGGAAGAAGTAATAGATTCATTTCCTGTTTATATTTAAATTTATATGTATATACTAGCTGTGTACCCGTTCTACGCACGGGGATCTTATAATATTCAGTTGAAACCTTCTTATATAAAGAACAGCAGTTGGTTTGCATATTTTAAGATATGCTGGCCAAACTATTATACATAGCTTCATTTTATGTTGTTTTTTGTTGTTCCGGATCGGTATGACAATCAATAAAAGGTTAAATTACCTCTGTGTCTGCCGGTCGATCCTATAACGGTAGGCTTACTTTTATTTTTACTATCTGATCTCGTTTGCATGGCTCAATCACGTCCTGGTTGAAGTTCGTTCGCTACGCTCACTCACCTGTATGTTGGAGCTCGTTCGCTGCGCTCACTTTCCTTCAGGTTAGCTCGTTCGCTACGCTCACTTGCCTTCAGGTTAGCTCGTTCGCTACGCTCACTCGCCTCCAGGTTGCAAATTAGCTGTTGTCATAAATGTAAAAGAAATAATAGTGCTAGTGCTGCACCCTGTTGGTAATCCTTGTAACTTTAATGCTATTGAACATCACAGAACAGAACCAACTTGTTTAATTGAAACAGCTGTTAAGATTCAATAATTTCATTTCTCATAAGGTTAACATGGGCTTCCAGAAATTCCACGTCAAAAATCGACAAAAACTTGATTTTCAAGGGTTTACTGTTAAATATCTAACTGTCTCATATTCGATGAAATACGTCTAAAACCATCTCATATATGTATAGTATTTGGAAAATAAGTTTCAGGCGGGACAGTGCTATAGTTATTGAGGAGTAGTTGTAATAAAGTGCGTATTTTAGCGTTACCAAGAGAATGACAGATAGACAGACAGACAGACAGACAGACAGACAGACAGAAATTGAGATAAGGTTTGATTCGGTTTCTCTGACCTATGAAATGTAAAAATAACCAAAAAGTTCATTATTCTAAGCAATGTACAGACAAAACTCTAATTTTATTTATATAGATAGATTGATGGTTATTTTGTCCATTTTATGTTAACAGAAAAATAGTATGCAAATCTTACTAGTTTGTCAGGTAAATCCAGTATAAAGATTTTTACGTTTGAGTTTGGATGATAAAATAATTAAATTTAAGATAATTATTACCATAACATGAATTTACAAACAGCACCATGATGGGATCCTTGTCCTATTTTTCTGTCGCTTTAAAACAATTGTATATACTATTATTTAAAATTGTTCAGTTGCTACATACATACACTCATCAACTTAAAAATAAAAATTACAATATGAACCTGAGATATTGAATTAATGTCAAAAATTTTTTTAAACACTTAAGAAACATCAACACACCTATACCGCTGTATACTTGACTACATAACTTTGCATTCCTATTCTCTCTAATAGTTATTTAGAGTTAGGTAGCAAAATATATCTAGCTATTGAATGTAATCCAAAGACTCCAGCCCTTAACATGATAATATTGATCCTTACCATTCTGTTGTATTGTTCATCGTATCATATATTTAGATATTGATGTTTGGTCTTAAGTGTGAAAGTGTATTTATGTAAACAGTATAAATATTATATTGAACCCTGTTAAATGTCTGTTTCTTTTCAATCCTGTGAAGAATATGGTCTGCTTAGTACTAATTATTTGCTGGTAAAGTCTATTTGACTTAGAAGAAAATTATTTCTACATTTAAAAACAGTTTTACTATGTTTTTTTTTTTTACTATTCATTGCTGCTGATTTTTGTTTTTAATCAAAATATTTTTTTATGTTTTTAAAATAAGTTGTAAGTTTTAATTAAATACTTATTGAGTTCCAATTTTTGAATTTGGATGAAAAAGGTCAAGTTAATTTTAATGAATGACTTTTTGGGAGGATTTTATGTCCTGTATTTAGTACAATCATTATGAGCTTTAAGCATTGGTTAAAAAATGAATGAGCCTGTTGCAAGCTTGTTGTTAGCGTTTATCTTCTTGGTTCTGGAGTGTTGGGTGAGATTTCCGGTATAAGACATATTCACAGTTAAAAGGATTTTTACCACTTTCCCTTAGCATGTCATTCGTACAAAATACAGTACCACTATTTGAAGATACAGTACTAAAAATGTGAAAATACAGTAAGTTATTTACTAAATATCCTAAAAAGACTAATTGTTCTGATTTTAACACATTTACTACTTATCACTTATGTTTGCAATGAATCTTAATAAGTTGAAGTAAGTGTCAGCAATCTGACACATACTTTCTCCCATTAGCTTGTCAACCGCCCTTTTGATAAGTAAGTGGTGGGATTACAGCTTCGACATTTTAGGGGAAGATCACAAAAGTTGCAATAATTTTTTAAAACAAAATTTGTATAGCAATTTGTTAAGGGTTTAAAGGACTGTATGTAACATACTAAATTTCAATTAAAACTGATCAAGCCGTTTATTTGGAATCCCAATTTACCCCCCCCCCCTCACGAGTTTTTATGGCAATGAAATCAAAATTTTGAAACAATTAAATAGATTCCTGGGAATACCAAGGATTAGTACCACGACTATACTATGATTATTACTAGTTAATTACTATTCTAATTTGCTACTGACTAGTCAATGTCATACCCAAATAGTTCATCAAAATCGGATCACAGGCGTGGTCTGCAGCTCTGTACACACTACACATTCACTGAGATTCAAAAAACTTCAAATACTACGTTTTTGGATTAATGGTGTCCCAAAAACTGATTTATCTTCTTTCTAATATATAAAATTCTCGGGTCACAGTGTTTGTCTGCAAACTCCTCCGGAACGACTTCACCGATCGTTAAGAAATTTGGTGTGTAAATTCTGTAGGTATGCGAATCGGACATAAACTATTTCCCGTTTCGAAATTCTTAAAAGGGCTCCGCCCCAGTGGCTCTGGAGTTTCCCATGTTAACCTTATGAGAAATGGAATTAATGAATCTTAACAGCTGTTTCAATTAAACAAGTTGGTTCTGTTCTATGATGTTCAATAGCATTAAAGTTACAAGGATTACCAACAGGGTGCAGCACTATTATTTCTTTTACATTTATAACAACAGCTAATTTGCAACCAAAAGGTGAGTGAGCGCAGCGAACGAACTTCAACCTGGAGGCGAGTGAGCGTAGCGAACGAGCTAACCTGAAGGCAAGTGAGCGCAGCGAACGAGCTCCAACCTAAAGGTGAGTGAGCGTAGCGAACGAGCTCCAACCCAAAGGTGAGTGAGCGTAGCGAACGAACTTCAACCAGGACGTGATTGAGCGATGCGAACGAGATCATCTTGAAAATTAAACGTAACGGTACTTTCTTTCCATCGGTCTGTCTTAGGGGAAACCTATAACTTAGGCGATACGAAGTTCGCCGGGTCAGCTAGTCTATATATATAAAAGGCAAAGCCCTCACTGACTGACTGACTCACTCATCACTAATTCTCCCACTTCCCACTTACCTAGGAGGCTGAAATTTGGTACACTGATTCTTTAGGCATTAAATATAAAAACTGAGTGGTTTTTATTCTGATCGGACTCTCGGGCTCCGCCCCAGTGGCTCTGGAGTTTCCCATGTTAACCTAATGAGTAGTCATATTTAAATGGAATTAATGAATCATAACAGCTGTTTCAATTAAACAAGTTGGTTCTGTTCTGTGATGTTCAATAGCATTAAAGTTACTAGGATTACCAACAGAGTGCAGCACTATTATTTTTACTTTCTCCCCCTATACCACATAGTATATGGAGAAAGTACCTATTGTTTTCGTCAAAATTTTCGAGTTTGAGTTTTGAGTGGATATATTCGTTTTGGGTCCCCCTGGACCCAAAAAAGTGGTTTTCGAAGTGATGTCTGTGTGTGTGTGTGTGTGTGTGTGTGTGTGTGTGTGTCTGGATGTGTACAGAGCTAGGGACTACACCTGTGGTCCGATTTCGATGAAATTTGGTATGTAGGTTCTAATCCATGGTATCTCCAGGCGTTTTTTTCATTTTTTTGAAATTTTGATTTTTAATGTGGATTTTCCCATAAAAAACCAGAAAAATCAAATTTTCTCAAAAATGGCCCGAACGATTTTAATAAAAATTTAGTATGTTGTAGCCCTTTAAATTCTGAATAAAATGGTACAAATCCCATATCTGTAAAAATTACCGTTCAAAAGTTATGGTCAATTATGTTATTTTCCCATTAAAAACCCCATAAAATAACAAAAAATTGGATTTTCGAAAAAAATCCGGCTTTGATTTAACATAGTATGTTATAGTCCTTACAGGTTTAATAGGTTTTTTTTTTAATTTTTAGAATTTATTATTTTTAATGGGGATTTTCCCATAAAACCCCATAAAATAACGGGAAAATATGATTTTCCCAAAAAAGGCCCGAACGATTTTAATAAAAATTTAGTATTTTGTATTCTGAACAAAATGGTACAAATCCCATTTCTGTAAAAATTACGGTTCAAAAGTTATTGTAAATTATGTCATTTTCCCATAAAACCCCCATAAAATAACAGAAAAATCGGATTTTCCCAAAAATGGCCCGAACGATTTTGATAAAAATTTAGCATATAGTCCTTTAAATTCTGAACAAAATTGTACAAATCCCATTTGCGTTTATTTACTCTCACCACTTACACATAATAAAGGTTGTTGACAAACTTATGGGAGAAAGTATGTGTCAGAATGCTGATACCGTTTATTTTAATTTATGACAACAGCTAATTTGCAACCAAAAGGTGAGTGAGCGCAGCGAACGAACTTCAACCAGGAGGCGAGTTAGCGTAGCGAACGAGCTAACCTGAAGGCAAGTGAGCGCAGCGAACGAGCTCCAACCGTAAAGGTGAGTGAGCGTAGCGAATGAACTTCAACCAGGACGTGTGAGCGCAGCGAACGAGCTCCAACCTAAAGGTGAGTGAGCGTAGCGAACGAACTTCAACCAGGACGTGATTGAGCCATGCGAACGAGCTCACATATGAAGTTAAACGGGGCAAAGCACGCGGGTACAGCTAGTATCCACATAAACTTAAAAATTTTCAAGAAAACAATACTGTCTCAATAGTATACTTTTTTTAATGATTTTAACTGAAATGGTTGCCTGGTAGAATTGGAAACGTCCCAAGTAGTACTATAAGCTAACATAACTGACTTGAGACTATGGTGACAACCCCTCATTTTATGGTGTATTATTAACATAAAGTGCCTGGGGACCGAGCCGGTGTAGTTAATTGCAATTGTAAAAGCGATATCCAAGTTAAATAATCAGTAT